CATGAACATGTCAAGAAAAAAACAGAGGACATAAATATATGACTTTTAAAAATATATAATACAAATAGCCAATACACCTATGAGAAAATGTGCAACACAATGAATAATTTAAGCAAATTATTTACACAATAAGACATTATGTTTGCCTATAAAATTGGAAAAATGAAAAGGAATCAATTATCTAATGTTACAAGTTTGAGGAGAAACAGGTGTTTTCTGACACTTCTGTTGATGGGGTAAATCGGGTCATTCTTTGGAGGGAGCTACCGATTGACACATCAAAAAACCTTAACATCTTGCATGTACTTGAAGTCAGAAATTGTACATCAAGGCATTTAATCTAAAGACACACTCATTATGCTGTTGAGGTCCCACAGTCTGGGCCCCAGTCTGCAGGTGTTAAGGAGACTACACAGAAGGAACTGGACTAGGGCCACTGTGAGCAGATTTATTTGAAAACCTAATACTGCCAACATCATATCTGGCACCTCTCACTGATGTGATAGTGGAAACCAACTCCTCTGAAAAGCTCTGATGTTTTCTACTCAAATAGCCTGTTGATCTCACCTCCAGCAAGTTGTCCCTGACTCCGCAGATATCTCTAAGGTAGCCAGACTATCTTGTCACCTGTTTGCACAATCTCCCATGACCCTCTGCATATTTGCCTGCGTGTGCAGCCAGTCCATAATAGTCCCTGTCTTCTGGAAAGCATTGCTTCCAAAACGTCGGGCATGTGCAGGTGCCCAGGTCTTCTGAGGACACTCTGTAGTCATCACCCTGATACTACTCAGCTGTCATCCGTGGCATAACTGCTGTTAACATAACTCTCTCTCTTCTCAGCCTCTGCCCAGCTAGTCACCCTGCAGAGTGGCTGTGACTCCCATAAACAGCACAGGGTCCCCCTAAACACAGGCTACCTGCATTATCCATATCCAACTTTATTATTAGTTAATAAACCATGGCTCATTAATATATTGGAATATTAGTTAATCAATAAAAATGACAGGGCAGAAAAAGATGTAATAACAAGAATGATAGCCACATCTTGTTAAATAAAAAAGGAAGTTAAAAAAATAAGTTTTCTTAAGTAAAGAATGCTACCGTTTATAAATTTCTACCATCATTTCTACCATCAAGATGCTATCAGTTATAAATCTTCAGTGCCAGGGTGTCCAACCCATGACTCATGGGTCGCAAGCAGCCCAGGATGGTTATGAATGCAGCCCATCATATAATTGTAACTGTACTTAAAACATTACAAGATTTTTTTGTGTGTGATTATGTGTCGCAGTGTATTTAATGTGTGGTCCAAGACAACTCTTCTTCTTCCAGTGTGGCCCAGAGATGCCAAAGGTTGGACACCCCTGACTAGTGTGTTAAGAGGATAGTTGATTTCCATTTTCCTTTTTACTATGTCTATTTGACAATTTTTTTAATTAACATGTGTTATTCTGGAAAAAACAGAAAATATTAGAAATAAGTCCATTTGAAATAGAATGTTAAAAAAGTTATCCGTTGTGCGTTTGTGTTGGGCCATAAACCTACGCGTGTGAACTCTACTATGATGGGCCTGCTCCGCCCGCAGAGCTGTATTGTGTTGCATTTTGTGTTGTGTTGTGTTGTGTGTTGCATTGTGTTGTGTGTTGCGTTGTGTTGTAGGACACTGCATGTTGTATTGCACTGTACTTCATGGTATTTTGGAGCAGTGACAGTCACCAGACTTTGGATGGGGCACACTTTGTCTCTGCATGGAACAGGGCCAGGAGCCCCAGGGAGCCAGTGGCTGGAGAGGCAGAGGACCGACCACCTAAGTTACAGTTCTGTTCCAGAAACAGATATAGCCTGTGACTCTAAATGAAGTCCCAGGTGAATGGTTTTCAATCATGAGCAGAAGAACCAGTTTTTCAAATGAAATCTTACATACAATATGAACTTCTAAACAAACAAAAATTGTGCTGGTCTGGTTCTAGCAGGAATGGAGGCATCCAGAAGTTTTCAGAGTAGCCCTTGAAGCAGCTTTGTAGATTTGCAAACTGACCATTGGGAAGAAACAGTAGTTGGTGTTAAGAAGGCAACTTCTTTTTCAGCAAGCTTTGTTTATTTGGGGTGTGAAACCCAAGTGAAGTTATTTTTACTACCAAAACATGTACTCCTAACGCCTTTCATAAGATAAAGCTTCCCTTCATCTGTGGCCCCAAAGTATTTGAATGATTACACACTGTGATACCACTTACTCCACGGTGCCCGAGCAGTGCTCATGCTATTCAAATGAGTCTTACAGTAAGACTGAAAATTTGCCTGCTGTCCATGAACTTACTTATGTATCTGTTTGTATTCAGTGGTTTACACAGGGGGTAAGGAATGTAGGTGGGGAAGGAAGGAAATGTAAAGGTGACCCTGATTTGGGCTTCAGACAATATAGACAAGCCTGATGTAAGGAGAATCTGAGACCCCATGGGGAAAAAAAGAAGCCACAAGGTCTAGTGATAGGAGGGAAATGGCGGTTTCCAGGGGAGTCGAATGGGCACAAGTCCTCACTTAATGACATTGTTCTGTGAGTTTAAGCAAAATGACATATAACCAAACCAATTTTATGTCGTTGAACTAAATGTTATTCAAGGGCTACGTACATCTGTGGCACTGCCTGCCTCAGAGATCTATGTACCAGAAAACCTCCCCACGTGAGACTTGGGCTAGAAGCAACCACGCCCTTAGAGGTTACAGCACAGTAATCACGTGACACTCAGGTATTTCAGTTGGTTATGGAAAATGTGCGGAAAGGACACCTTGGTCCAGTGAAGATTGCTTTAAGCATAAGCATATGTCCTATAAAGAATAAACTTTCTAAGCTTTTATTTTAAAGTTTAGAAAAGGAAGCTATATGATGGTCAAACTTTGGTAGCTTGCAATTGAATGCAAGAGCATCCAATCATTGTAAATTACCTTAGTCTTGTCTAGTATAAGGTCAAAACTGTTCCCAGCCAAAGGGAAGCCATGTCCTTCTACACCTGCTTGCCACTCACCCTTCCCTGCCCTTTGATTCTGAAGGACCAACAAAAATCATACTTCAGAAACACAGTGGAACTGTATTTACAGCCTACTTGCTTATTAAGATTTATGTATTCAACTTACATGCTAATGAATTCATACATTAACTGAAGTTCCAGAAGATATGTACAAATTTCCCATGGATTCAAAATTCATGTAATTTATTTTATTAGTATGAATTTAAAATAAGCATTGAAGACTGAGTTCAAAGTTTTCATAAAAATTAGAAGCACAAAAAGTTAATGTTTACAAAGGTATTTTGAGTGAATGCTAGGTTTTTTTTAAATATATTTTTTATTTTTTTAAATTTATTTATCTTTAGAAGGGAAGGGATGGAGAGAAGGAGAGAATGTATGGTTGCTTCTGGTGCATCCCCTGCTGGGAACTGGCCTGCAACCCAGGCATGTGCCCTGACGGGGAATCGAACTGTGATCTTTTGGTTTGCAGGCTCGTGCTCAATCCACTGAGCTACACCAGCCAGGGCTTGGTTTTTTTAAATGTGATTTTTATTAAATGGTGGAGGTATTAAAACAGAATTAACTCTCTGAAATCTGGACAGAGAAGAGAGCCAGAAGGAGGCTCTTCAACAAAGAAGAAGCGGTTATATCAGATGTCTGCAGTCTTCTCCCTGAAACTGGCTTCTTCTTTGGGGGTATCTTACTTCAGTTCTCAGTGTCACCACAACTTCTGATACAGGGAAAATTTCTCTTTAAAAATCCAATTCATCACTTAAAATATAAAGTGCCAATAACTTTCCCCCCAAAATATAAATGTGCATTTTTAAAAGAGAACTTTCACTAAAAAGTTGAACAGAAAAGTTCACATTCCCACGTGAATTGTTAAAAACAGTGCAATTTCGAAGTACTTTTATGTCATTATGGAGCCTAGAGAAGTAGCAAAGGGTTTGACAGTTCCCAAATCTCCGTTTAAAAAAGTACACTTGACTTGGAAGGGCAGATGTGACTTGGGAGTACCATTTCCTCAACAGATGGCCTCTAACTGCCCTCTTATCTAACTTGTCATGTGTGTTGTGTTAAACATAGCCATTCATCACCTCCCACCAAAGCACAAAGTACAAGATATGAAGCTCAGAGTCCCAGATTTCCTGGTGGCTTCCAACTCAGTTTCACTTTTCAATTTGTGGAGCAAGTGACTGACTGGAAGGATGCTGGCTTATGGGCCACAAAATGATTCTCTAGTCCTTTGTTTCCTGGTTGTAATAGTCATGTCTATTACTGGGAAGCATTCTCCTGATTCACTCAATTTATCTGATCCAGCCCATCAGAAAGTGACTAGACAAAGCCCACGCATATCAAATACAAAATCTTACTCATACAGTAACTATAGCATATAAATTGTGTGAATTAAACACAGATATTATCACATGAAATTAAATGAAAGTTGAGGGAATTTAGCGCTCACCAAACAAAATATTCAATTAACAAAACATTTTTTAAAAAAGGCCAAATCTTACTTAATTTTGACTCTTTAGAGGAACGTGGTATATATCTGTTTTTCTATTGTGATGTTTAGCTTTTTGACAACCCACCGTTAAAAATAGTTCTCTGGATATAACTGCAATAGTCATGTTAATTCCTGTATCAAAGGTATCTAATCTAAACTCTTTATATTTTCATGTAAACTTAAGGTTTTAAGAGAGTTCCAAAAGGTGCAAATCTATATGTTACTTAGATAATTTTCTTGTTAAACATAAATTTTTGGTACTAAATACTTGGTAACTTTATTCATTTATCAGTACTATCAAAATACAAATTAGAAATAAGAAAATTGTCTAGTGAGCAAAGTAGTTTCAAAAGTAATTATATTTAGATATCTTCATTTATAATCTTATATCTGTAACATTAGCTCTAAGAAGTTATCACTAAACATGTCAATAAAAGTGAACAGTATGTCAAAGTTTTTTTAAAAATTATATTTAATAGATTACTTACCTTTTTGCTTTCCCCTAAGAGGATATATCCTGAGTTTTTCAATAATGTCAACTATGATCAAGGAAGTCAGAACCAGAGAGACTGGCAGATCAGGCAAGGTGTTAGGTAAGACATCAGCAGTACCATTAATATGCTTTTGAACCTGTTTTGAGAAAACCACTTAGAAACATTAAATGTTTGTACTTTTGTTGTTTAAATTTTTTTTATCATCTGAAAGCAGTGCTATACACATTTATTAAAGGACTAAAAGCTTGGTTTTCAGTTCTTCAACTATTCAACCACACAAGGTTTTGAATCATTTCTAAAGATATAATAAAGATTTATATCAATGGAAGAGTTTTCAGTTTAAGAAAATGTATGTGAAAATATAACAGCAGGCTCTTGGTAGTGGTAGAATGGGCAATTCCTTCCAACCCTACTGCTATGCAGAGCCTTTGAGAGTCCTAGCTCAAAGAGCTAGGGGGCAAGTATTGGAGTTTAGGCTCTTCAAAGAAGGGAGAACCCAGGTAAACCCAGTTAGGCTTTCAGGTATTTTCTTCATCTGATTAAAATATCTACCAAAAAAAAAAAAACACCCATCCCTTTAGCAAGTATCAAATTAATGGTGCTAATGTTGAGAGTTTTTTTTTCCTGATCATCAGGAACAAAATGAAGATGCCATCATGACCATTTCTATTCAACATTGGCTAAGAGGTTCTAGCTAGTATAATAAGACAAGATAAAGAAATAAACAATATAAGCATTGGGAAAAAATCAAAACAAAACATCATTATTTGTAGACTATATAATTGCATATGAAGAAAATTTTCCTAAAATGTATGAATCATTCTACATACCAATAATGAAGAGCAAATGAGTTATTTAAAAATGATGACATTCAATGCAACTTCAATCAAAATTCACAACTTTTGAGGAAAATGACAAGTTGATTATAAAATGTTTTTCTTTTTTTAAATGTATTTAATTATTGTTCAAGTACAGTTTTCTCTTTTTTTATTATAAAATTTATACAGAAATGCAGAAGGTTAAGACACTAGAAGAAAAAGAAAAAGGTATGAAGATTTACTCTTCTGGATATAATGGAGCTAGTATAATGCTCCAAGGATCGAGTCAGTATGGTGTTGGCACAAGAGCAGAAAAGTAGGTAATGGAACACAACAGAAAACTTAGAAATAGACCTTGTATACACACACCTAATTTACAACAAAAGTAGCATTGCAGAGAGATGTGGGCAAACAGACTTTTTAATAAATGGTACACAGTCCATTGGGTGTTATTTGGAAAAAAAATAAATAGAACTTCTCTCCCTACTACATAATATATATATGTTATCTCTAGAAAAATTGTAAATCTAAAAGAGAATGGTAAAACAGTATAGAGCCAAAAATATAACATAGGAGAAGATCTTCAGGACCTCAAGTTTCAAATTCACAATATGTCAAAATCCTCTCAAACTAGTTACCAAAAGCACTATTCATAAAGGAACAAAACTGATAAACTGGAATATTTTTAAATTAAGAACATCTATATCAAAATACATTATTAAGAGTATTAAATCACAGAATATGAAGACATTTGCGATATATATAATCAATGAAGAGCTTGAAATCTGAATATATAATTTTTCCAAATTAATTTTTAAAAGGGTAACACAATAAAAATGGGCAAGAAAAAGTGCTCAATCTCATTAACTATTGGAAAAATAAAACTTAATACTACAATGAAATTCAAGAGTATAACCAGCAGAATGTTAAAATAAAAAGACTTGTAATGCAAGTGCTGGTGAGGATGTAGAGCAACAGAAATGCTCATCTGTGCTAGTGGAAGTCCAGATCGCTATGACCTCTGGAAAACTGACTATCTGTTGCAACTGAACATTTGAATGTCTTATGACCCATTACTTCTACTCCTGCATATTTAACCAACGGAAGTGCTTGTGCACCCATAGACAAATGCAAGGATGTTCGCAGCAGCATCATTTATAGTAGTCAAAACTGGAAACAGCTGAACTGGCCATCAGAGGTAGAACTGATGAAGGAATTGTGATATATTCATAAAATAACTCTATGAGAATGAAAATGAATGGACTATAGTTATACACAAGAACACGAATGGCCTATATTTTTGAATAAAAGAAGCCAGACACAAATTAGATAAAAGATAGATAGATAGATGATAGATAGATAGATAGATAGTTAGATAGATAGTTAGTTAGATAGTTAGATAGATAGATAGATAGATAGATAGATAGATAGATAGATAGATTTGATTTCCCTTTATATAAGGTTTAAAACAGATGAACTAATCTATGGTATTAAAAATGAAGGTAGAGCTACCTTTGGGTAGAAGGTAGTTGTTGCAAGGAACATGGGGTGGCCCTTAGGCAGCTGGCAAAGCTTTATTTTTTGACTTGAGTAGTGTTTACACAGGGGTTTGCTCTGTGGTATCCCATTAATATTGTACATTTTTGTTCTGTGCACTTTTCTGTTTGTGTAATTCATTTCAGTGAAAAATAACCCTGATACTCACCTCTCTAACAACATTTATACTTCATCTAGTTGTCTTTTTTATCTCTACTATCAGTAATTACTAAAGATCAGAGACTGTCAAATTTCCTGAGTAGTCTATTCCTAGTACCTAACTTAGTGCCTGGCATCTAATATGCACTTAATGATACCTGCTCAACTTATAAATGAAGTATCACAAAGTGCTTTAAGTTGTGCACTTTGAGAAAGTGAAAATTCTGTCTTTCATGGCAACTTACAAATAATTAAGATTAGTAAGGCATTCTTCTTTGGACTTCTTAGATAATAAATTCTTATAGCCTGAAAATTCTGCCTATAATATTCCTGTCCTACAAATATCCAGCCATTAGAGTCCTTTTGAAGTTGCATTTGGTTAAAACATAAAGTTATTTTCAAATAAGCATCATGTGTGAGTGATTTGTCAATGGATATATTATCAAAGATCTTAGAGTGTGAGGGGTTTTTCACTGAAATATTCCTCTATTCCTTTAGAATTCAGTATGATCGTGAGAAGCATCAGGTTAGAACAAACGTAAATCCTTGCATTTAAAAATTATTTTGAAATAACATTCCTGCCTCTCACACACAAACACAGAAGTAATCTTTTTAAAAATCTTTGCTAGAGTTTCCTACATAATCTCAGAGGTAACAATGACCTTGGGGGGAGGGGTGTGTATGTGTGTAATATATTATATGTATAATATATGTTAGTATTCAGAACACACTGTTTGGAAGAACACTGGATAAAATAAACTTGAAGAAATGTGTTGGGCACACCACTCTAACAAGGAATTTTAAAAACTCAAAATCTGCCCTGGCTGGTGTAGCTCAGTGGATCGAGCGTGGACCTGCGAACCAAAGGATCAACGTTCAATTCCAAGTCAGGGCACATGCCTGGGTTGCAGGCCAGTTCCCAGCAGGGAATGCATGAGAGGCAACCATACATTGATATTTCTCTCTCTCTCTCCTTCCCTTCCCCTCTAAAGATAAATAAATTTTAAAAATCTAAAAAAAAACCCAAACAACAACAAAAAAACCCTCAAAATCTTTCAGCAACAGAAATAAAAATTCCATACCTCAGTTACTGCTACAGAAAAGCTGAAGCTGGGGAGTGTGGTGCACACCACACACATCATCATAACAGGTCTCCTAGCAAAGGAGAAAAAAAATAAAGAGCAATAATGTACAAGATCAACAGTTCCTGTTATTTTGCTAATTTTGCAGTTCCTGTTCCATTCATCTAGTTTTTCTAAGAAGCTACTGCTTCCCTATTTCCATTTCCCAAATGCTTGACCATGGCAAAGAGGAACACATGCAACAACTAGAATGCTTTTCTAGGACAAAGGGGGAGAGGTTTCCAAATAATTAATAAATCATAGGCAACAAAAGCAACACAAGGCAGGACCCATGGCATGCAACATTTTCATAATCCATAAATTAGGATCCTACCTCAGAGTTCTGGCTCTCGTGACCAACTGCTAAAAAAAAAAACGCCAACTTTTTCAAGTTATATTATACCCAATGTTGTAAAATTTACTTTTTTAAAAGCATTTAGAGATGATATTTAGATACTAAAGGATGACTTAAATTGAAAACATTTAGATGTTATTTACTCGAACCAAAAAATGTCATATGCACATGAAAATAACATAATTTTTCACTGGCTTTTGGACCACTTCTTGAATCTTTCAGATCAATTCATCAAATAGTTATGAGGTAGTATATGTACTTATTAATCTATATTTGAGAGAATTTATATATATTCCTCTAGCATCATTAGTTTGGGAAAAAACAAAATATATGCAAAGATTATCTATATTAAAATAGTTACCTTCTCTTCCCTTAGTTAAATAGATATTATATAATCATTACATTTATAGGATGGTGTGTATTTAAATACAAAAAGTGCTGAATTCCTTCAAATGACTAAGAATTTCTCCTTGGCCCTGACAGGTATCCCTCTAATTTCATCCCCATCTCAGGTGTTCTAGGTTTAGACATAATTTATGGGGTGGGATGGCCACTCTCTTATAACCAGACCCAGCACAACCTGCTAAAACTGTAGGATCAGATTTTGAATATATAGCTTTGCCCCTCTGTGAGTCCTCATCCTCGTTCCTACAGCACTCAGTTCTCTAAGACTGGCTAGAGGGTTCATAGAGTCCTCTTCTCAGCTTGACCCCAGGAACTATTCCTGAATCTCTTCTTTATCTGTATTATCTCCCTTGATTATCTCAGCCAAACCTCTTTCTTTAAATGCCACCGACTTACCAAGGACTCCCAAACACACTAAATATATAGACAAGTATATTGGCCTCGACCCTGAGCCCTGCACTTGTACGCTCAACTATCTGGAGCCTCCACCTGGATTTCTAATAGGCTGCTCAGGATTAACATGCCTGGAAAGGAACCCACATCCTTCCCTATACCTGTTCCGATCATCATCAAATCCTGTCTGATTCCCTGCCAAGATACATTTTGAATTTATCCTCTGCTATCATCTTTCATCTGCAGTATTGTCTAACTAGTTTCCTGTTACTGCCTCTATTTTTACCTAGCAGCATTTTCTCCATGGAGCCAACAGTTATATTTTCAGATTTAAAACATATTATAACTCCCCTACACAAACATCTCCAAAGTTGATGTACGGGAAGAACACAGAGTTATTGTTTATTGAGTACAGAGTTTCAGTTTGGCAAAATGAAAAAAGTTTTGTGGATAGATGGTGGTGCACTCAGTAGTGATCAATTAGAATAAAATTGAAACCTATTACTCTAGCCTACATGCTCCACATGATATAGTTTCCCTCATTTCTCCTACGCTCATCCTCACTCAGAATGACCTACATCTCTAACACCTACTTAACCCTGACCTTACTGGCCTTCCGGCTATTTCATGATCCTAGCAAGGTTGCCACGCCTCCAAGTCCCACCCTGCTTATTCCTTTTGCCAGTGGCTCTCTACTCCTGGATCTTCTGTGCCTGGATTTTTGTTGTCATAAAAAAAATTTACATATATAAAGATACATGACTAACCCAAATTCTGCTAATTATTTCTTTACTTGCTTGTTTTTTATTGCATCCCTCTTTGCCCATATCCAAGGTAAGTTTCTTGGAAGCAGGGGCCTGTTCTAATTGTTCACTACTTATTCTTCACCATGTAGAACAATGTTTCTCAACTTGTTTGTACAACAAAATTTCTGGGACTCTGGCAAGTCCTATGGAATCTTCTCGGAATAGAATTTTTAAATGTAGAAAATAAAATAATACTTACAAAGCAGAGCAATTATATTGAAAAAGTAACCTAAAACCTTAATTTTGGGGTATATTAATAAATGTGTCTATCTGTGAATAGAGTGTCTTTGTATTTTCTCTGAAGTAAAAACTGTAATCACCAGTGGAAACTGTAATCACTCATAATTTCAGGGTAGTGAAGATCATAAACCTTATCCTGAAGTATCTGAACCACTTATAGTGGATGCAAGATGGTGGAAGAGTAGTTAAAGTTACACTGGTCTCCTCCCAGGACCAAACTGGAATTACAACTAAAATATAGAGAAATCAATCTGAATAACCAACTGAAGACCAGCTGAAGAGAAGTATTACATCTAAGGATTCAAAAAAACTCACATCAAGACTGGTAGGAAGGGGGGGAAGTAGAAAAAGTTTGGTCCCATCCCCGAGGGTAGTGGCTGAGATTCCAAGGGATACCTCAGCTGCAAAGGTTTCCCATCAGGAAAATGGGGGTCTCATCCCCACACTGAGCTCCACAGCCAAGAACACCATAGCCAGGAGGAGGCAGCCACACAAAATCTGGCTGTGAAAATGAGTGATGATTTCATCCAGCAGGGACACTGGTGTTGCTAGATATACAGGCACACTCTTAAGGGGCCAATGCACAAAATCTCACTTGCAGCCACTCACACTAGGCTTCAATGGAAGGAGAGCAGAGTGGACTCAGTGGACTGAGAGGACAGGCTGGGCCTTGTGGCTCTAGGGAGAGAGTGAAAGAGACAGCTGCCAGAATCTTGTGCTGAGTCCCACACCCATACCACAGATGCCATCTTTCTTGGGTGGAGCACTTTTCTCCTTATAGCATCAGCCTGGGCAAATGCAATAACCCCACCCTGTATACCTCATGCCTTGCTAAGAACTCAGCTCCCTGGCTGAGGTACAGAGATCTAGGCAGACTCAGGGGTGTCAGTAACTAAGTTGTGTGGCTTCAGGGCCAGTGGCCTCACTTTTCCATGAAACTGACTCCCCCTTAGGGGAGTTCCACTAGCCATACCCTCCTGATTCCTGGTGATCCTGCCTTGCTGAGCTCAGTCTCCCAGAAGAATCTGGGGCAGACTAAGTTGCATAGCTCTAGGACTGGGGCCATTTTCCCCTCACATGCCCAAACCAATGCAAAGTCCTTCCTTCACATGGCTACAGTCTTGGTCTTTTTGCACCAGATAGACACTGCAGGCCTCACCCTGATGATTCTCTGAGACCTAGATTCAATACAAAGGTCTGTGGGCAATGGGCAAGGGGCAGCTGGACCAGGTATACCCTAGAACTTTTGCTGAAAGCCCTCAGACCTAGTACTGGCAGAAAGTTTGAACCTGTATCAATCTGGTTCCTACCAAGTGACTCACTAAGAACCTACCTCATGCAATTCAAATACTACCAGAGGCTATTCAGTGATTGAGCCCAACAGGCAGCCAGCAGGTTGAGGCAGGCAGAGGTGGGTCTCAGGATGCCTTGGGCATTTTGCTGACTGATCCCTGGTATGTAGCTTGGTTCTTGGTATGCAGCTTGGTATGCAGCTTGGTCTTTCCACTACATACCAAGGCCCAGCAGAAGCAGCCACAAACTGTGGATCTTTTTGTAGCTCCAAACGAGTTGCTCAAGGCCAGTCACAGACAGCATCTAATAGTGGTCGGCACCAGAGTACCCCCCAAGAGACCTTAGAACAAACAAACCTAGTGGCCAGCTTCAGACAACATCAGAAAAATTGAATGAGCTTCAACAGTGGCATATCCAAAGGGTTTTTATAGGCTCCACAACCTGCTCAGAGGAATTCTACTTCATATGCTCAGCACCTGCACAGCAGCTCATACACTGTAGTCAGGACTGATACTCAGTCAGCCAGCCAGAGGGTCAACCTCATGTACAAACAGGCCAATAGCAAACAACACTCATTTACAACAGCAAGCGGACATAAACCACACAAGGAATATTACTGGAGGATCCAGTTCAGGTGATCAAGGAGATCGTGCCACTGGGTGCCACAAAACACCTACCAAATAAGGCCACCCTACCTGGGTGATTCAATGTTTCACAAAAATCTCTGCATAAGATGTGATGCATGGGCAAGTACATCGTAATGATGAAGCTGCCTATCACCAGTTGCCCATAGCTGTGGCTTCCTGAATCATCCTACTAGTTTCCACAGAAGAATGTTCAAGCTTAACCCAAAAATGTGATGCAGATTCATTCCTCTCCTTGTTCAGTCATTTTGAATGCTACACACAGTGTACATGCTCATTCAGTGGCATCTACCACCCCCACTGACTAGTACAGTGAAATCATCACTGTTCTCGCATGCACATTCCAATCCACTCTCCTTGGCTGTCAGTTTACATTAATGTCATGTAAACCATTTTTATTATATTAACAATGGCTGGACATTTTCCAGAAATACCTTGTATATGCTGCCTACAAGAGAGCCACCTCAAAACAAAATTGACACACAGACTAAAAGTAAAGGAATGGAAAGAGATATTTCATATGCTGTGGCCACATGACTCAATTGGTTGGAGTGTCAGTCCACATATCAAAAGGTTGCTCTTTTAATTCCCAGGCACATGCATAGGTAAGGGGTTCACTCCCTGGTTGAGATACATATGGGAATCAACCAATTAATGTTTCTCACATCCATGTTTCTCTCTCTCTCCATTTCTCTCACTATAAAAATAAATGGAAACACATTCTCAGGTAAAAATTAAAAAGAACACACATTATGCAAACAGGAATGAAAGAAAAAGCAGGGGTAGCAATACTAATACCTGACAAAATAGAGTTTAAAACAAAGGCTATAAAAAGAGATTAAGAAGGACACTATATAATGATAAAGGGAGCAAACCAACAAGAGAATATAACCCTTGT